ATTTCCGTTATGGATTACGCTGCCTGATGTCAGAAAGGAGGTAACATCGAAAAAATTCTGTCAAACACTTTGTGAAACTCTCTTCTGAACACTGAAATTATACGCGTATTTTTTTTTTCTGGATTGGGACCTCATATTATTTTATCTTTATTTCTGGATTTTTGAAAGCCTGACTCCTTGGAGGAAATGAAACCTGCCCCCTCGTAGTTTGGTCATGAAACTAGGAATGATGAGCAGTAGAAATATTTTTTGAAAATACTTGAGTACACTAATAAGCTTGATCCTCCGGAATGATAACTTTCCCAGTCGCTTTGCCCAATACTGCATGGCCTGGTGAACAGTCTGCTAGTGATCTTGACTTTTGGTTTATCCTCCGAATGGATTATCAGCTAACGGTTCTCCTGACAGACACGTTACTTTAGCTGCTTTGATATGTCTGAAGGTGTGATGAGCACTGTTGTCTAGTTTTGAACTTTCGACTTCTAGACCTCAATGGGATACTTTGCTAAAAATGATTTTAAAACGTATTAATTGGTGATTATTTCTAGTGGTAATTACAAAATTTATTGAAATTTTAAAGAGTAGTTAATTTAGAAGGCGCGTAAATGGTTTCCATTTACATTCGTTGGCTCCATCCTTTGGATCGCTTTCTATTCTTATCTTATGGTCTGGATGGCCAACACGATCGGCGAAACGATGGCTATACCCACTGAGGTTCTTTTTTTTGCTTTTTTCATGACGGACTTATATCTGTGCGCATCCGTAGTTTGTACAAATAGTTCAAGCCCAGGACTATAAAAGCTAGGAAGCTGAAATTTTAAGAACGTACTTCTAACGTGCATATAAGGACAAAATTTAGAAATCAATTTGCACATTTCTCTGCGCTTGACTTACAGCTTCAAGTCCTACACTGGACCAGTGTTATAGCTCGAGAATTTAGAAAGCTCCGAAAAAGGCGATTAAAAAAGTAGTGAAATAAAAATCAATTCCATTTCTGAGAAAAACATTTCCGACAGATGAAGTTCAAGGTCAAAGGACATGGCATAGCTGTACTTGGCGTATAGAAAAGGAGCATTCTAGTAACATCACTAATATGTGATCCACACAGTGACTTTCCTCGTCATTTTGGTATTTTTGTTAATTGCGAGGTGTTTCTTGTTTTCAACAGAAACTTGAATTTGAAAGTGGATTTTTGTACATTCTGCACTTTTATACTTTCAGATAATTGGGTTAACAATATTGGCTGCTGGGACGAGCATACCCGACTTGATTACAAGGTTTGCTCCAATTAATTTTTCCTAAAGATTTTGGAAGTTCACGTAACTCAGTAATTGAAATTTCTGCGATGAAAAAGCTTGCTGATGATTGTTGCAGTTGATTATATCAAAGATTTTTTAGCGTTATCGTAGCCAGGAAGGG